ATATATAAATTATTATTATATATATTTGCCCAGCAAAACTGCATGCACATTGTTCTAAATTACCCAGCTAACCAGCTGTTGTGGGGGCAGAATCAATACCGATAATGTGCCGATACCGAGTATTAGGGCGAGTTCTCGTCCAAATGTACCGATACTTACTTCCTTAGGTGGCTATGCGGCGTCTCAGGGGGGCTGTGCGGGCTCTCGCTGTGCAGGGTCTAAGGAGGCTGTGAGGGCTCTCGTCAAAATGCCCAGTATTGGCACAGCTACCGGTATCGGTAATGGCAGGTGAGGCTCATGCTCCCTGGTTTGGGGGTGGTGTTTTTTTGCCGCCCAAGGCTGCCCAAGGCAAATGTCTTGTTTGCCTTGTGGTAGATACGCCTCTGCTTGGACATATATTTTTATAGCTGATATACAGGAACCTTTCACTGGAGAACTGATAGGGAACTTTCAGTAGAGGCTGCATGGTCTTCATTACTGCACTAAGGTCTTCATTGACCTTAGTGCAGTATGTTGAATAAGTATCCCCCCCAAAAAAACAAAAAACAGAAGAATGTCTATCTATACATAGCAGACTCTGACATATGCACATTTCACAACCAAAGTAACCATGAACACAACAATCTTACCATCATCATCCTTTCTAGTTCCACTTCCTGCAACAGGTCAGCAAATTCTTTAAAGGATTCAGCTGAGAAGACAAAAAAAAGAGCGAAAACCAGACGATCAGTGCAGTCTACGTTTTCATTATTACAATGCTACTTCCACATTGAATGAGTATTGTACGCTTTCCATGAAGGACCACAGACGGGTCCCACCAACCAAAACCTTTTCATTGGCAGAGGCTTGTGTTCATTAGATAGGCAGACTACATTCTGTGATATCCTCATATCCTTCTTTAAAGCCCTGACGGGGTCATCTCTCTGCTCACTCTGCCCTCTTCTCCTGTCGGCTTGCTCCAAATTGCTGGAGCAATACAGCCTGATTCCGAACACGCCGCCAACCTGTGATTGGACCACGAAGATAAGGTCATTCCTCACCCTTTTGGCTCAATTCACATATTTTTTTAGGTGTGTGATTTTCAATTCTCATTGGACTTGGCTAAAAATGACCCACTTTTTAATAAGTATCATTAACCCGGCATTTTAGCATATTGAACTCAGCTTTTTGTGTGTCAGGTGCTATCAGACGTGAATGCGGGCTGGCAGCGTGGAGGAAACCCACTGGCAGGGAGCAGTCTGAAAGGTCCGAAGATAATGTACCAAGGGGCAATCCAAAAGGGGTAGTCAGGATCAATCCGGGTCGAGACGGGCAGCAAAGGGTCAGAGGTGGTGGTTGGTCCAAGGTCGGTACACGGAAGATCAGATGGGGGTTCAGAAAACAGGCAGTAAGGCACACAGGAAAGGGAGCTTCGTCGGTCACACCATAAAGGTGGAATAACTCAGCAACAAGCCAGGGCTCTGGCCAGGTTTTTATAGCCAGAGGGTTTAAGTTTGCCCCCCTGTCACCGAGGCAACTAGGAGGCTTTCCTCCCCGAGAGCAAATGGCAGGCGAGAGGTGGTATGTGTGGGCTGGGAGCCTCCCCCAGCAAGGCCCACACCTGAGGCCTAAACGGGCGCAGGCGCGCTATGCGTGCGCTCCCGGGGATGCGAGCGCAACCCGTGTATTGCGAATGTGCGCGGCTCGTGAATGTGCGTGCTCGTGCATGCGCACCAGCAGCCCGGGTGCCAGTGGTTCTGCCAGGCTGGAGGGAGACCCGTGCCCGCTGACCCTGCGTGGAGGTAACACCCTTGGTTCCCTGACATTGTGACAGCAACAAAATCCAAACTGGTACCAGAGTTATGACCCTCCATCTCCCAGTCTAAGAGCAGCTGTGCGGGGGTTTAAGGCCTCCATAGAAGGCTTGAATTTTGGATGATTCCTGCTAAATCGGCCAAAATTTGAGCTTTGGGCGGCCCCACTTAACAAAAGGTGGAAAACTATTGGATGAACAGCAGCAGCATCCTATCACACGCACCCAGGTAGCCACGGGTGCCATGACTGCCCAACACAAATGCCAGAAGTGGAGACTTCCCCATCCACAATGTTAGCATTGATGGGGGGAAATCAATGGAGGTGCGTGGCAACGCCACTATGAAATTTGGTAACACATTCACCCAGAACTCTCAGCCAGAGGGGCTGAGAGGTTCTAAGATGCGAGTACTTTTGCAGTGAAGAAGCTGGCTGTTCAGTTTCTTCCAGGTTTTCCGGACCGTAGCCGGATGAAATCTCTAGTCCTGGGGCCAGGTGTTGCCATCGACCATTCTAGGAGGATCAGCTGGCTGAGAACAGCCTTATTAGGAGTCTGGACCAGAGCTCAGCAGGAGTTGTGGGTTTGCAGGAGGCACATGGCCACAGACAGACTCTGCTGCGTGCTGGGAAGCACATGTGTGACAGCCAGGGAAGGATGAGTGAGGTCGAGAGGGTCAGTGCCACCCAAGGGACCTGTTGGACAGAGAGAGAGTCAGAGACCTACGAGGGGTGAGCAGTGTGAGTGTCACAAAGGTGTGTGCTGAGATGCTTGTTGCTGAAGACTGTATTTGCTGAAAAATTCGGTAAAGTCCTGAGACTAATGCACCGGGAGAATATGGGACAGCCAAAGGTTGTTGAGACAGAAACACAATGTTTTGGTGAAAGTCAAATGAACTGTTACATTTCATTATGCTGAAGAAAATCGGATTATTATGATGGTGCAATAGCCAGCCTGCAATGGGCCAATTCGAATTGCAATAGCAGGCTGGCTACTGCACCCGCCCACTGCTTGCTGCGCCCTCCTCCCAGCATGGAGGAGAGAGCTATGGGATCCAACCAACTAATCGATAATGAGAAGAGTTGACAACAATTCTCATTATCGATGAATCGATTAGTTGGTTGCAGCCCTATTATGTGCAGTGCATGGATTGTTGGCCTTTGTGTGAATAAAATACCGTCCTCTTATGTTAAAGATGGCTTCAAGAGTGGTCTCTTAGCGCTCACCATTGTGCTAAACTCCCCAAACTGCCACAGTGTTTAACCCCTTCATGACCAGTGACGTACAGTGTACGTCACTGGCAGCGGGCCCGTTTAAGCAGACTCCCGGCAGAAACTCTTTTTACACTGTCCGCTTTACAGTAGAAGCGATTCTGACACAAATGTTATATTGAGTTGCAGTTCAGCGAGTAAAAAAAGTATTTGACCCCCTACCAACCAACAATAATTCTGGCTCCTCCCACAGACTGGCCATGTGGTTCACAGATGAGTCCTGTCACTTTAAAAGGTCTTGGAGATCTTGGACAGGCAAATCGTACTCTCGATCATCGCAAGCCCGCCCCCGAGGGGAGGGCTTGCGATGACCGCAATGCTGAACGGGCAGTGTGCGCACACCGGCCCGTTCGGCATTTGTCTCCCGAACACCATTCAAACCAGCCGAAAATCGTACGATTTTCGGCTGGTTTTCTAGCGTGCTCCTTAGACAAAAGACGTGTGACCGTACAGTAGAAACGGTTGCACGTCTTCGTTCACACTGCTCGATTCTCGTACGATCGCAGGATTTCCCGCGATTCTCGTACGAGAATCGAGCAGTGTATGGGCACCTTAAGAAGGTGCTCCTAACGACAACTCGTTATGTATATAAAAGACACCAGTCCACAGTATCTCTTCCATTAATTCAAACCTCACCACCATGGGCAAGACCAAAGAGCTGTCAAAGGACGTTCGGGACAAGACTGTAGACCTGCACAAGGCTGGAATGGGCTACAAGACTATCAGCAAGAAGCTCGGTGAGAAGGAAGCAACTGTTGGAGCGATTATTGGTAAATGGAAGGAATACAAAATAACCATCAATCACCCTCTGTCTGGAGCTCCATGCAGGATTTCGCCTCATGGGGTGAGGATGATGAGAAAAGTGAGGGCTCAGCCCAGAACTACACGGGAGGAGCTTGTGAATTATCTCAAGGCAGTTGGGACCACAATCAACTCGCGGTATACTGAGCTTTGGGTGATGGGAGGATGCTAATTTGTGTCCTCCCGTTACCCTTAGGAGAACTATGAGGAAAAGCCCTGACCCCATAGTTCTCCTTTAGGAGACATCATTTAAAAGGAGAACTATGGGGTTAAGGCTTTTCCCCATAGTTCTCCTTAGGGTAACGGGAGGACACAAATTAGCATCCTCCCATCACCCAAAGCTCAGTATACCGCGAGCTGTAGCTGGCGGTATACTGAGCTTAGGGTGACGGGAGGACGCTAGTTTGTGTCCTCCCGTTACCCTAAGGAGAACTATGGGGTCAGGGCTTTTCCTCATAGTTCTCCTAAGGGTAACGGGAGGACACAAATTAGCATCCTCCCATCACCCAAAGCTCAGTATACCGCGAGCTGTAGCTGGCGGTATACTGAGCTTAGGGTGACGGGAGGACGCTAGTTTGTGTCCTCCCGTTACCCTAAGGAGAACTATGGGGTCAGGGCTTTTCCTCATAGTTCTCCTTTAGGAGACATCATTTAAAAGGAGAACTATGGGGTTAAGGCTTTTCCCCATAGTTCTCCTTTTAAATGATGTCTCCTAAAGGAGAACTATGAGGGGAGTGAAAAGCACTCCCCTCATAGTTCTCCTTTAAAAAGGTGCTTTTCTGATCCACCAGCGCTGACTGGCGGAACGGACGGGGGAGGGGGCGGGTACAGCTGTCTCTGCCTCTAGATAGGCAGAGCCAGCTGTCACTCACGCAGCTGGGCGGATCCCGTCATCTACGTCGGGATCCGCTCCGGCTGCGGCGTCTCAGTATACCGCGAGCTGTAGCTGGCGGTATACTGAGCTTAGGGTGACGGGAGGACGCTAGTCTGTGTCCTCCCGTTACCCTAAGGAGAACTATGGGGAAAACCCCTGACCCCATAGTTCTCCTTTAAGGTAAGTGCTGACATTAACATTGCGGGGGGGGGGGAACAAATTTGACTTTAATGTCACTTTAAGTCATTTTCAGGCCTAAAATGTGGATTATAACATGTAAACAACAAAAAAATGTAAAAAAAGGCCTGGGTCATGAAGGGGTTAAAGATGTCGCTCCAATGATTTTACAGGGAAGTGGAAATAGTGGAAATAATGAAAATAGAATTCGTTAGCATAACGTCCATCTGACTGAATATCTGTTTCTGCGAGTTCAATAGGGTCTTTCAGTGTTCACGCATGACTCATATAATTGCTATAAAATTCGGGTACATTTCATCTGAACTGGCAGCCATTCGGGGCTCTTACTGAGCACAAGTCGGCATTATGTCACCGGCAGCGAAAACCCTCATCTGGGGAGAGAATTTCTGTGAAAGATTTCTCAATGTTATCACCATCTGGTGGTTTCAAAAAGACGCCTTCTCAGAGTAGAAGACTCGTTGGGGAAGACCCTTCTCCATTCACCCGGCCTGGGCCCCTTACAGGGAGTGTGGAGCACTGCAGCTGGATGATTGTGAGTCATTGCTTGGCACAGGTACAGGGGGAAGAGCTCTGCAACATCTGTTGTTAACCCAAAGAGGGTTCCCCCGAGGGGCGCACGTCAAGGAACTGTAGCCTTCTCTGCATAAAGAGAAAGCAGAATGGAATACTATGGAAGCCTCCCCTTACCTCCTGAGTATATCGGGGAAGAGAACTAGGAGCACAGCTTCCCATAGAAAATACATGCAAAGTAGTCACTTCAATGCATGTCCAGGTTCGTTTGAATGCGTTTTTGATGCATGTTCATGCGTTGCAGTGCATTCCATTCCAGACCAGACAAAATGAGACATGCAGTATTTTACTGGTCTGGAATGCGCTGGTGTGAACAGAGGCCAGAAATAGCATAGGGATACATTAGGATGCATCTTGGGTCCCTGGAAACAATCTGGTCTGGATGTGGTGTGAATGGGCCCTAACGGAACCTGTTGATCAGGCACAGGTTTAAAGCGTTGGCCTCACTGCTAATAAAGTCAGGTGTGCCCGGCAGAAACCAGAGCTGCATTGCTTTGCAACAACCGGCAGATGGCAAAGGTTCCAGGCTGATCGTTACAGCAACTGTAGGTCAATGCATAAGTCTAGTAGGTTTTTCCAAACGCATGGGCTGCCTTAACACAACCCATGCAGTAATGCACGGTAACAGAACAGCATAATGTGAAGCAGCCCCATAACTAAGAATTGTACAGAGGCGAGTCCACAGCGAATACAAGGTGGAGCCGCTTACAGTAATGTGGTGAGATGAGTGCTGAGTCTGCTGTGTTACTCAAAGCTCCATTAGATTTACATAGGTGGGGTTTCGGATCCTGCCCAGCGTTTCGGGAAATGTTCCTAATTATACGCATTTTGTTTTAATCACAACCTATAATTACAAGCGCGAGAGAAAGAGAGAGACAGAGATATTGAGGGATCAAGAGAGATATTGAGGGATCGAGAGAGAGAGAGAGAGAGAGAGAGAGAGATAGAGAGGGATTGAGGGATCGAAAGAGAGAGAGATTGAGGGAGAGATCGAAAGAGAGATTGAGAGGGAACGAGAGATTGAGGGAACGAGAGAGAGAGAGAGATTGAGGGGGATCGAGAGAGAGAGAGATTGAGGGGGATCGAGAGAGAGATTGAGGGGGATCGAGAGAGAGATTGAGGGGGATCGAGAGAGAGATTGAGGGATCGAAAGAGAGAGAGAGATTGAGGGATCGAAAGAGAGAGAGATTGAGGGATCGAAAGAGAGAGAGAGATTGAGGGATCGAAAGAGAGAGAGAGATTGAGGGATCGAAAGAGAGAGAGAGATTGAGGGATCGAAAGAGAGAGAGAGATTGAGGGATCGAAAGAGAGAGAGATTGAGGGATCGAAAGAGAGAGAGATTGAGGGATCGAAAGAGAGAGAGATTGAGGGATCGAAAGAGAGAGAGATTGTGGGATCGAAAGAGAGAGAGATTGAGACCCCATTCACATTGAGCGACTTATCGCGCGGTAATTCCCGCGATATCGCGGCAAATTACCGCGCGATATCGCGCTCCAATGCAATCCAATGGGGCAAAGGGTCCTGCTGTCGCGGGTCGTGTGTCGCTACAGCAGGACCCTTTTTGGAGCGGATTTAGCCGCGATTCAAGCTTGCTCAATGCAAGCTTGAACGCGACGTCGCGCGATTTGCATATCGCGCAGTGGGAACGGGGCCTGAGGGATCGAAAGAGAGAGATGATCGTTTTTAATCCCACAAATCTAAAAAATAATCATTAGCTGCAGCCCTAGTCTGGACAGCTTCGAGAGATCGAGAGAGGCCATCCCTCGAAAATTGTACATTTGACTTAAAAGGAAAAGTATTTCGGAGGGGCGCACACTTCAGTACAGCACGCCTCCGCTTTGAACCTCTGCAATTATTTAATGATATTTCACATATTTGTAACGTAGACTTTTGGAATATTTCCATGTAACAATTCTACATTGCGGTCCAGGACTTGAACCCCAACCGACGTTGGCAAGTTTCATTGTGATGGGATCTCGTCTCCATCACTTGGGTCTTTCTTACCAATGTTGAGTTCATCGTCCGTTAAGGTGTCCCCGATGAAGTCGAACTGGAAGCTTTGCAAGGTCTGGGCGAACTTCTGGACAGCACTGGAGTAGCCTGTAAGAGAAGAGAATATTTGGAGCACTCAGTCAATTCTGCGCTCTTACTAGTTATACATTAACAATGAATTAGACCAAAGTCAACATTAATGGTCAAAGACTGATCATTTCTACTCGGCAATCTCAAGCTGAAGGAGATAGTTTTCCCACGGCGGTACACTGAGAACCAATGTCTAGACCAGCCTTTCAAAGTGTGCCATGGCAACCTGGGGTGCCTTCTGGATTCCTCAGGGGTGCCTCAAAATCATGAGATGGTAGGATGTGAAGGGGGGCGACTGAGGACTCTGGTGTGAAGGGGTCACAACTGCTTGCAAGAACCACATGCACTCCTGTAACCTTCCAATGGTGGTGGTGCTCTGGTGATCACACGGATGGCACCGTGCAAAACTCAGAATAGTCTCAACTGGTCACCAGCACACACACAGATTAATTTAATATCTCTTAGATATGTTTATTAAAGAATGTCACGACATGCCATTAGAAGCTTCTAATGACATGTCGTGACATTCTTTAATAAACATATCTAAGAGATATTGAATTAATCTGTGTGTGTGCCGGTGACCTGTTGAGACTATTCTGGTGTGAAGGGGGGCGGCTGAGGACCCTGGTGTGAAGGGAGGGCGACTGAGGACCCTGGTGTGAAGGGGGGGCGACTGAGGACCCAGGTGTGAAGGGAGGGCGACTGAGGACCCAGGTGTGAAGAGGGGGGGGGGCCACTGAGGACCCTGGTGTGAAGGGGGGGCGACTGAGGACCCTGGTGTGAAGGGGGGCGACTGAGGACCCTGGTGTGAAGGGGGGGCGACTGTAAGGAGGTACTCCAGGAATTTTAAAAACTGACCATTGCAGTAGGTCTACCCCACACCGCAAGGGCTATGTGCTAGTTTGGTCTAGGGGCTATTATAAAGTCACCTGATCCTCAGTCTTGCTTGCCTGCTAGATGGCTCCCCTCAGCCTCTTCTCCCCCGGGCTCCAGCAGTCTAAGGACCCGTGACGCCATCACGTCTACTGAAGGTACACTGGCTATGAGGATGCCGAGGAACATACCACAGCCAGCGCAGAGAGGAAGAGAGGTGAGCTTTGACTGGCGCAGAACCGAGGATGAGGGGAGTATATCTCCTGTATTCCAGTCTCTAGAGAAAAAATGAGCAGTTAACCCTTGCAGTGCAGGGGGGAAGTCCCACTGCAAGGGTTACTTTTTACAATACCTGGAGTTCCTCTTTAACAAGCCCATCTAGTCCCATCAGCCTCCATGGAAAGTAGATGAACAAAAGGCAGACATGCTTGACGTTCAGCCTGTGTGTCTACAAAGGCCTCTTCCATAGATACAGTGGAAGAGTAACGGAAGCCACCCTACAACAGGAAGCGTGTTATCTGCAAGATTACCAGGCCAAAATATAGGCGAAAAAGGCTCGTAAGCGCATCATATATTTCATTTTGGGTTTTGGGTTTAGAAATGCTTGTGGGACCTTTTATCACCCATGAAAATGTGTTGCTGGATGACAGCTGTTTGGCTTCCCTATAACAAAGCTGAGAGAAAAGTAGTTCTAGGTCTTTGTTTGCATGGAAAACATAACTGGAAGTCACAAAGCCAACTATAATAGACATATATGGTCCAAACCGTTCCTATATTCTTAGAAGTATAGAATACTCGAAAGGGGAACAAATCCCGTGACCACTGAAAATGGGAACTTTGGCACGTGAAATAAGCTGCCGGAGAACAGTATTCATAGCGCCAGGGTGGTTATGCTGTACCTGACAATATACATTCCTATGATATGTATATACACAGAAGTCATATGGCGAAACGTTTGTGAACGCCGGTCCATGGCACGTACAGTATATGAGCTTGCTGGACATTCCATTCCAAAACCATTAGTATGGAGTTGGCTCCTCAATGGCCATTACACAGGGCTCTGTGTAGGACACTCGAGTTCCTCCACACCAAACTGGTTTTTATAGAGCTGGCTATGTACACAGGGGACAGTCATGGTGGAACAGAAAAGGGTCTTCACCAAACTGTTACCACGGGGCTGGACGAGCACAATTGTCTACAATGTCTTTGTATGATGTAGTATTAACAGGACCCTTCACTGGAGACACTTAAAACCCATGATTTGGAGGGGTTCCATTTCATCCAGAAGGTGTTCAGTAGGGTTGAGTTCCGGGCTCTGTGCTTGACACTTGAGTTCCTCCGCACCAAACTGGACACAACATGTCTTTATGGTGCTCATGCATTAAAATTTAGTTGACTCCCCTTTACCACTTATAACATCCTCCACTCTTCTGGGAAGGCTTTCCACAAGATTTTGGAGGGTGTGTGTGAATTTGTCCCATTTGTGAGGTCAGGTACTGATTTTGGTTGAGAAGACCTGGCTCACAATTACCATGCCAATTCATCCCAAAGGTGTTCAGTAGGGTTGAGGTCAGGGCTCAGTACAGGATAGTCGAGTTCCTCCACACCATACTGGTCACACCATGTCTTTATGGAGCTGGCTTTGCCAGCCATAGTGGAAGAGAAAAGGGCCTTCACCAAACTGCGTCTCTGAAGGAGTGTCCATTGCCTACACAAATTTAGTTACAATAAGTCTCTCTTTCTCTTCTCAGAAGGACGGGAGGCATGGGTCCTTCTTGAGCACAATATTGGAACTGCTGGCCATCAATGACAGCGGAGGTCAGTAGTACCAGGAACTGAACTGATCCTGAGTAATGATGTACAAACCCAGCCTGCCTGAGTTCACCCCAAATTGCCAATCAGTTGCGAAGGAGGATTCCGTGCCCTTTGTGACATGTAGCTGTGGGGCAGGGAATTTCCCTGCTGAAACTGATTGGCCCAAAAGGGGGGGGCGTTAATCACAGTTTTGATGAGCTTGGGCAAATGCAGTGGGTTCACACCAAGGCCTGCTCATTACTAACCTTGAGGCTACAAACCTGTCATAGAGAACTCGATGTGTGTTTAGCACGATACTCCCATTGCATCATCTTTCATCTGTACGTCGATCTATCGGAGCGCCAAAGAACAAGATGGCGCACTTCAAAATTGATCTTTATTTATTAATAAAATATCACGAAACAGGCCAACATATTGCAAAGGACTTTGAGAGCCCTCCTCCCTTCCTCAGAACTACAAGTAAGGAGTAGGAGTATGATGAAGATAACAGGGTTGTTCATGGCCAGGAAGAAAGCCGACTGGAAATACATTTGGCTAAGAAACTCAACATATTCTGATATTAAATACAAAATCGGATGAACATTTTTTTCCATGGGAAAGTATTGTTTTGCAGGCCCTGGCCCCTACTTTTTTGGCTTCCTAGGCGAGGATGATGCCCTCCCCAACCCCGTCCAAAGCCTACTTGGATACGGACGTCTTCCATCCCAGAAGGCTTTGGGCCAGTCTTCTCTACACGGCACATGCGCCCGGCCAATTTCCCGACCACACTGTCCATGCACCACAGCAGGTCACCAGGGGCTCTCTGCAGGAACCAGGAAGAGACAGCCGACCCCCTAATGACATCAGAAGGAAGATGGTGGCCTGCTGCACCAAAGAGGAAGCTTACACAAGACAATGCTGTATTAGTTGGGCGTGCGTGTATGATTTCTTGAGGACAACCCAGCGGTAAGGAAGCGAAAGAGGGGTTAAGGTAGGGCAGGAGGGGGAATAAAATTGTGGCGCAAACAGGAGGTGTAAAGTTCCTCTTTAATAACCAATGTATTAAATACGTTTTTCATATACAGTATGTTACACAGCCGATCACATTTATCACTTGTCCCAAGCTCTGTGATTTTCACTTCTGCTGGACAGCTTGGTACGCATGCAAATGCGGAGAAAAATACATTTTTATATATATATAAAAATAAAAAACAGTTACAGTAATAATATATTTTTGTGATTTTTTTTTTTTTATTTCACATTCCCTTTAGAATCCGGTCCTCATCTCTCCAGCAGGGAGAGGGTTACCAGGGCCCCCTCAAGCACTGCATGGATCAGGGTGAAGGGATATTGTGGGGGAAGAATATCTCCCTTCCATCAGGGAGATCCCTCGCCTCCATCAATGCTGCAATGAAAAGCCTCATTGAGAAGGGGGCCCCCCGCCCCCCCAGGACACGGAGCTGAATGGAAACATTCATAGACACTCTACGTATCTAAATAAGGAACTGCTTCCCAGACACAGCGCAAGTATGAGGAACCCAACCGCCGGAGTACAACTGGAATGACCCAGAATGCACTTGACAAGCTTTTCTGCTGGTCTACAGCACCTAATCAGGGCTAGTAAGATGATACAAGTCCAGCCATGGATGGACCATTGCCCCATAAGTGCACCGGGCCACCAGATGGACCAATATTGGTGTTTGTTCAATGAGACAATTGTATATTGTTTTGTTGATTGAACACCAATATTACAAGGGTTTAGATTGGTCTGGTGCTCCTTCTGGACTTTGTATACATGGAGTCCCACCTTCGGGTCCCCCAGCCTCAACTGAGCCATTGGGCCCCATGTGAATTTGTTTGAACTTCTCCAACCATAAAACAAGGTATACATGGAGTCCAATCTTCGGGTCCCCAGGCCTCAATAGACCAGCCTCAATGGAGCCACTGGGCTCCAAGTGAAAGTGAATTTGTCTGACCTTTTCCAACGATAATACATTGTTTACATGGAGTCCAACCTTTGGGTCCCCCACCCTTAATGGAGCTATTGGGCCCCATGGGAATTTTTTGAGCTTCTCTAAGCACGAGGAGGCATTCTTTCTGGACTTTGTATACATGGAGTCAAACTTCGGGTCCCCCAGCCTCAACTAAGCCATTTGGCCCCATGTAAATTTGTTTGACCTTCTCCAACCATGATACATTGTATACATGGATTCCAACTTTGGGTCCCCCAGCCTCAATGGAGCCATTAGGCCCCATGTGAATTTGTTTGAGCTTCTCCAACCATGATACATTGTATACATGGCGTCCAACCTTCAGATCCTCCAGCCTCAATGGAGCCATTGGGTCCCCTG